AGACCCTCCTAACTTACCCATCATTGCTAGCAGGTTGTCACTGCTTATTATCCTCCAAGAAACTGAATTCGAGAAACTACAAAAGGAGAAGGGAAAAATAAGAGAAAAGGAGAATATCTAAAAATGTGCAAACGCATTTTACATAAAAATGAAAAGGAAAAAAGAAATTTAAAATTGCTCCATGTCCTTCAAAGGACCTCAGCTAGAAACCTCTTCTTATTAGAAATTAACCCTTCTGAGATATCCTTCTTCTTCCTGACCGTCTGAGAAACTTATCCATCTGTGCTCTTAATTATTTTATTGTGACTGTCTGAGGTACTTATCGCCTACTCGGATCCAGTGTCTTGCTCAACGCTTCCTTTCTTTTAGTCTTGATTTTTTATCCACTCGTGTAACACAGAATGGCTAATGGTTGACCCCAGGTTCTTATATGGCTTTTCAGTCTTGTTGTGTAACTCCCAATATCTTCCAGCAGCCACGCTTAGTTAAAGGAATTTTACTGGTGTATATCTTACATTACCCAAAAAGCCAGATTCTTCAACAATTTTTTTGCCTTGTAATGGTGGGAGGGTCTGCAAAGTCCAGGGATTTTCGTCAATTATGATATTATTACACAATATCTGGGGAAATGTATTCTTAATCCTAGAGAAGGACAGTATTTTATATTCCTCTGCTTTTCAGTTTTACAGCCTAACTGGGATAAGAAAATAATCTTTTTCGTATACTTTGTCTAACTGAAATGATAAGAAGTTGAAGGTTTTGACTTGAACAAATAACCATCTTTTCACCATCTAGGAAATTTAGTACCCATCCTAATGGTCTCATGATTTCTTTGCTTCAGTTACACTTCATTTGGAGGAGTGGAAGATGTACATCAATAGATTCTCTTTCTTTCACTTATGACATCATCAGAATACGTGAAGTGACCAGTAGGAACTTATTTACATTTAGCTACTAATGTGTTTTGTCTCCACCAATCATATTTTGCAATAGGTTGTGTCACCTAAAATTCAAGGTCAAACTGAGGTAGGCAAAATTCCCCAGAAAGTCAAAATTTTTGGATAACTTTAAGAAGAAAGATATAGTGGGCAGACACCTTAAAATATGGTTTAATGTTCACCACCTCCCACTGCTAGAAACCTCTATAGACATGCTTCAATATAAAAGACTTCAAGTACTATACATTAGTTTTTCTTTTTTGCAGAACTTTCTTATTGTTGATAGAGAAGGTGTTTCTTGACTTTTTTAGATCATAGGAAGTCAAGTTTTTGTTTGAAAATGAATATAAATAAGGGAAAGAGTTTAGGAATGTCTCTTGAAGTAAAACTTCAAGTTGTTTTAAAGATAGTGTTAAGACTTTATTAGCAAAGAAATAAAAAATTTCTTGTGAATATCTTTTTTATATGTGGTTAAGGGATCAGTAGTATAAATTATTTAGTATTATCTATATAATAATATATAATTAATTAAATTATAATAACATAAATAACATATTGTGTATTATATTATAGTTTATATTATTTATAATTTATAAATATAATCTCAATTCAAAAAATTTCACATATAAGTTTAGCAATTTTTTTACTTTGTTGCTGATAAATAGTTGCTGAATTTTAAATGAATAGTTAATAAACCTTTAATAAATAATTTAATGAATAGTTACTGAATTTTTAATAAATAGTTTTGATGAATAGTTGATGAATAGTTGATGAATATTTGACAAATAGTTAATGAATATTTAATAAATAGTTGATGAATAGTTGCCAAATTTTTGATAAATAGTTGACAAATATAGTTGCCAAATAGTTAACAAATAGTTGACGAATTTCTGATGAATTTTTAATGAATAGTTTTGATAAATTGTTGATGAATAGTTGACAAATATAGTAATTGACATATAGTTGATGAATAGTTGACGAATTATTGACAAATTATTAATAAATTCATGCTAAATTTTTATTGAATTATTAATAAATAATTTTGAAACAAACTTTTAATGAATTTTTGTCAAATTGTTGATAAATTATTTGATAAATTGTTAATGAATTTTTTGATAAATTGTTAATATGCCAATTTTTATAGTTGCTGATTTATTTATGTCATTTTTTTGCCAAATTGTTTAATTTTTGCAAATGTTACACAAGTGACAGTATGCCAAATAATTTTTTTTCAACTAGTGTATATATCATGCTAATCAAGTGAAAATGTACTTATGTTTTCAGTTGATTAATAAACTATAATCTAACCTGGTAGCAGGTATACAAATAAATAAATAAATAAATATTTTTACAAACAAAAAAAAAACAAAAACAAAAACAATATTGCTTTGTATTCTTTGTATCTATTTATATAAACTTATTTATCTTATAAATCTAATTGTCCCTTAATTATTATTCATGCACTTGCTCTTTATTTATTTATTTCAATTCTTTGTTTTACATACAAATCCACTTTACATTCAAAAATCCCACCCACCCTATGTATGTTATGTTCTGTAAACCCTTACATTTCACACACTCGCTTACACTAAATACTTTACATTTCCAGGTTTTGCCTTATGTTCCGCAAACAACAATCACGAAAAAAACAAACACAAAAAAAGTATGTATATACGCATATAAGAAAATAAATACGCCAAAAAAATAAATAAGAAAATACGTAAAAAAATTTTTTTTTATTAATGTATATTGATAGATACGCACCATTATAATGTCCATGCATGAACTGGCAAATTTCTACAAAGGGGGGGTACTATACACCGCGACATACGGTATTTTGCGCCTTCAAGAATAATTATATTTTTACCTCGTAAATTATTCGCTATAATACAAAACCACTATCAACATTGTATATTGTCAAGTATTCAGAAATGGTATATTGCTTTCTGTATTTTGACAATAATTCTTGAATTTTAATTATACTGTGCATGTATTATTTAAAAAGTAGGGATAAAAAAATTATATAATATTCTGTCGCATTTAAAAATTATCATTTTTCTTTGTGAAGCTAGCAAAACAAGGATAAACAATAACGAATGCAATGTCTTCCGTGCAGCTAACTCTTAAGACATAATAACTACATCGTGCCTTCATATCTGCATAAATGATTCTGATCTAATGAAATTAGATATATAAAGAGGCCCTTTTCTCTAACTTCGAACATACATCGAAGACGTGAATCAATAATGAAGCTTAGCAGAAGCCTCTTTATTCTCTCCATTTTGAGTATATTGTGCATAACGATAGAAGCCGTAAAGTACGCGTTTTTTTATTCATATGAAGACTACAAATAATTAATTTACTTACACATCAGTTCTTTACTCGCGTTTAAGCAATGGCAGAATCAAACCTAGAAATATTATAAGAAATCGGAGAGGCATATCCGATTGTGAAACAAGCATTATTTACGTCACGGCGACTTCCGTCAAAACTATTGATTTCACGAAGACATGCGTCGAAACTGACACCACTACTGTAACGGATACCACTACGAATACTATTGATGTCACAAAGACATGCACTGTAACGGACACTATTGATGTCACGAAGACGTGCACTGTAACGGACACTATTGATGTCACGAAGACATGCACTGTGACGGACACTATTGATGTCACGAAGACATGCGTCGAAACTGACACCACTACGAATACTATTGATGTCACAAAGACATGCACTGTAACGGACACTATTGATGTCACTAAGACGTGCGTCGAAACTGACACCACCACGAGTACTATTGTCGCCACGAAGACATGTGTCGAAACCGACACCACTACTGTAACGGACACCACCACGAGTACTATTGACGTCACGAAGACATGCGTCGAAACCGAAATCACTACTGTAACGGACACCACCACGAGTACTATTGATGTCACGAAGACATGCACTGTAACGGACACTATTGATATCACGAAGACATGCACTGTAACGGACACTATTGATGTCACGAAGACATGCGTCGAAACTGACACCACCACGAGTACAATTGACGTCACGAAGGCAGAGACAACTTGCACGACTAATATCGACACCGAAACCAAAAAAAACCATCGAAAACATAGAAGATCACATTGGTAGTTAGATAATTTCTGAAGAATCTTTACTATTAAAAGATTTTATTGATTTAGGGATCACAGAAAGGTTGATGCCTAAAAGAGAGCTATTGCAGTAGTTAACACAACTTATATTTTTTTGATTGATTTTTAAAAGATTTGACTTCATTACGTTAAGGCTAAATAAAGGATTATTTGTCAGTTCATAGAAATTTTGTCGAAGTTATAAGGTTTAAAGGGCGGGCATTTTATTTGAATTCTACAGTACACGTAACCAAAACCCATAAATTTCGAATTTTATCTTAAGAAAATTATTTCGAAAACTAAAATTATTAGTCGAAAATTATTTTTGCATGTCGAAATCATTGTTGAAGTCTTTGAAAAATGTCATCTAATGAAAATTTTTCTAATGCAAAGTTTTTTAACATTGTCAAATAAAAAACAAAACTTTATTGATAAATTATATGTTGTGACTTACTTTTTTCTCTTATTAAGCATTCTTTTATTCTCAAATTTATTAAAATTTTTATATTCTATTTATTTCTTTTCAAGTTGTTGGATTTTATCTAATATATCAATATTTTATTAAAGTTAAAATTAAATAAATTCTTGGTAAAAAAATTAATTGTATTGTTATATTTAATAATAAATAAATTTTATTAATTAATCTATTTATAATTATTACTTAATTATTGAAGAATATAAAAAATATCTTTGATTTTTAGATATGTGGATCGATAGTACAATTATAGTAATTTTAAATTATCAAGTAATGTTTCTAAGTTCAATATTACTGTCAGGAAATATTATTCAAGTCTTAATAATATAAAAATTTTTATTTGTTCTATAATAAAAATCTAATTAATTTAGATTAAAACTTTATTCAATTATAAAAAATCAAAAATTACAAAATATTTTAATTTATTTTAATACTAAAGTTACTTTATTATATAATAAGTTCCAATAAATAGATTAGATCTATATAGTGTAAAAACAAGAAACTAATAAAATTTAAATATATTGCAATAATAACTTGCAGATAACAATATTAATAGTTAAAAAAATTTTTATCTAAACTACTAATAGAGTAACAAATTACTTCCAAAGTTGTATTTAGAATAAGTATTAACTATAACTAATAAGTTAATTAGAGACTTAGTTTATAATATATAATAATGTATAGTTTATTAAAAAGTTTAATAAAGTATATATAACTAGCTTAATGGTAAAAAAAAAAACTCTTTCCGCTTATCCACATTTTTTTAAAAAATTTTCTTTTTTGGTAATTTTTTTGAAAAATCACAAAAACTCTTTCACACAAAAACAAGCTTCAAAGGACACAACCATCCATTCCTAGGCAACAAAATCTATATTACAACAAACAAGAAAAGAGTTTCGTTCAGCTTGAAAGACAGATATTTCTAGGTCACTTTTGCTTTTAGGAAGAAGAAAAAGCAAGAATAAGCTGATTTACAG